CGTGGTGCTCAGACGACCGAGCGATGAGATGGTCGTACCGCTCCACCAGAGCTCTCTCCCCCTCTCTCCCTGTTTTTTTTTTTCTCTAAAACAAACAGAATGATCTGAAAATTTTTTTTTGACTTTATATAGGAACCAACAAGCCAAAACGACACCGTTTTAGGCTAGGGAGATCCACGCGTGGACCCGGATCTGACCTGGGATCCGTGCAGCCCGACCCGTGGACCCGTTCTTCAACAACTGCTGACTGGTCCAATTGAACCGATTTTGAACCGGACTGAACCGCTCCTTAGTCGGTTCGACTGAATCGCGTGCTGAACCTACCCTTTTTTGATCCAACTGAACTGGTCGTTGATCGGACCGTTGACCGATCCGGTTCAGGTAAAAAAAATTTTTTTTTTTAATTTTTTTTATATTATTATTTTTGTTATTTTAAGTATTATATTTATGTTTGATAAATTTTTAAATTTGTTAGAATAAATGTTTAATTGAAAACAAGTAATAACTAAAAATATGTATTAAAAATACTCAAAGCAGTAATAATAATTTTTATTATTTTTTCTGTCTAGATGTTGGAGGGAATAAAAAATATTTTTTTCAAACAAATAATTCTGCCTAGATGTTGGGGAATTATTATTAATAAATTTTCATATAAAATATATATATATAAGAAATTTTTAACTAGTTTTTAAAAAATTATAAAAAAATTGAACTTGTTCCAAAAGTCCACCTAGATGATGGGGATTTTTAGAGATGTTCGCGTTTTAATTAAACCCCAAACCCTAAACTTAAACCCTAAAATTTTACCCTAAATCTATTTCAAAACTTTAAGGACACGTGTGAAAGTCTCGCATGAGATTGTTTGTTCCCAAATGCTGCCTAAATGATGGGGTATTTAGGAAACTCCATTTCATTAAGTTTTTCACACTGAGTTCTTAATTCACATTAATAATAAGATTATTAAATAAAAAGTATAATAAAAAATTAGGATCTTAAATATAAACAGTCGCACCTAAGCTCTGCCTAGATGTTGGAGAGTCGGAGTGGTCTCATTATACTTAAGAACCCAACTATTAAGTTGCATTTCATTTCTCATAACATTCATTGACATACACACATTAGCATGTTATTATTAGTATTTATTTGTACTATTCTGTCTTTAATTTTTATTTGTACTATTTTTTAAAAAAAATTATGATATTACAAAATAAAATAAAATTAACATTCCGAAAAAAATAATTCTTGATACTCTGCCTAGATGTTGGAGAGTCACCAACAATTTTTTATAAAGAGTGCTATTTCATTTTAAGGATTGTTGTGTTAAATCTTAAGCGAAAAGAGTTATTTTAAATTCTACCTAGACGATGGAGAGTTTTAAGATAATTCTTTAACTTAAAGATTTTTTTAATAGTTCTAAATATATATTTTAGTAAAATTTTATTTTTTTATAGTGAAGGGAATTAGTGTTAAATTTGAAATTAAAATCATTTTTATCTAACAACGAAAATAACGCGTAATTAAATGGTACCAATTTATGGGCGTTGTGGGGGTGCTAATCTTTCCCCACACGTAACCGACTCCCGGACCTAACCTGATTTTTCGTAGACCAAAATTTATCTTTTTGATAAACTTTAAACTCGTTTTTATAGTTTTATTAAAAAGATAAACTTTTGGGTGGCCAATCACACCCTAACAAAGATTGGTGGTGACTCCCACTTTTTATTTATTTTTCTCGATTAAAACATCATTGTTTTACGTCTGACGGTCCCAAAACCGTTACGACAATGACTCTTTAAGTCAATGTCTAGCGATAGATGTCTCAGATCTAAACGTTATGATGACAAGTATCATTTTTTTCGATCGATGTTTGTCGATACATTCCTTGGTGGTTTATGAGCGACATTTAAGGTCTTAATTCGACTAATAATAGTTATATATTATGTCCTATTATTTTCCACCATTGCTGTTTGTATATTCAAAAACACCACTAGTGATATATATTATCAATAGGTGGAGCAGAACTATCAGAGAAAGGCCTAGTAGTCATGTAATACTGACCCATATGTGGCATCTTATGCAACGAATGTGAGGCTGTGGTTTGAAATGGCAAATAATTTCACTTCATTCATCGTAGCATTGATTATGCGAAGAAGGCTTGTCTTCTTGTAATCAACTTGTGAAAGGGAATAATTTTATCTACAACAAGTAATTACATGAATTGTGAGTACCGACTTTTCTTCAATTTATACGTGGTAAATTCAAGTCCTAAAAGAGCCGACCATATCCATGATCATATTATTAAACTAATTTACTAACGATTGGTTGTGTAAATTGATATTATGATCATTTGAACGCTAGAATAATCGTTATGAATGTTCGGAACTTTTCGAGCATCTGTATGTGTTTCTAAATTCATAATTAATTTGAATTAGAGTAATATTTTTAATTTTAATTGTTTTGATGTAATAATAAAAAAATATAAAACTTACACTATTATAAGTGGATCTTTCATTTTAAAATATATATAATTTTGAGATATCTAAAAAAATAAAAGAAAGAAAAATGTCAAATTAATGCATCTCTCGTCACAGTTTACAACTAGAGATATTAATAGAAAGTGATTCAAAAGTGGTAATCTTATGGATCAACAATATCGATCAAAGACCATGGAGGTACAATTGTCACGGGCCGAGACTCAACTTTTCGGGCTTGCACGACTTCAGGACCAGGGCATGCATTCCTCCGATGTCCCAGATCAGTTTACTTGTCACGGTTCATACCCTTGTGAGATATTGTCCACTCTAACCTCTTTGACCTCACAATTTTATCCTACAAAAAGTGCCTCACAAAGAAGGGAAGGTATGAACCTTTATATTCCAAGACCAACTCTAATACTCAATTGATGTAGGATTCTTGGCTTCATTTCAGGACCGTGACATCTTCCCCTACTCCAATGAGGGTCTACAGTCCTCCGTGGCACATAATTAGTACTCCTAGAATTGGCTCTGATACCACTTGTCACGGGCTGGGACTCAACCTCTAGGCTCATGCGACTCCAAGACTCGGGCATGCACTCTTCCAGCGTCTCAGATCAGCTTACCTGCTACAATTCAAATCTTTGTGATGCGTTGTCCACTCTGGCTCCTATGACCTCACGATTTTATCTTACAAAATGTGTCTCACAAAGAATAGAAGGTATGAACCCTTATATCCCAAGACCAACTTTAGTATTAAATTGATGTAAGATTCCTAGCTTCATTTAAGTACCGTGACACAATGACCCATTCAACAAGCTCTCCAACTTATTTGCTAGGGTCAATAAAATATCTTTTATCCATATACTTAGCGAAGCAAATCACTTTGCTGATTCCCTCGTTAAGTCTGGTATCCTTTGCAACACTGTCTTAGTCGCTTTAATCTAGTTGTCTCTCTTCTTTTTTATTTATAATAATAATTTTAATTTAAAAAAAAAATTAATGCATGCTTAATTTGAGGAAACAAACATTTATAAATGGACATTTGCCCCGGAAAGGGGCAGGGTACTTGGAAAAAAAGTTCCTAGTAAACATGTGACAAATCACAAAACCTTCCTTTAACATCACCCCCCCTTTTTATTTTCCAAACTCGTTTTTTCAAAATAAGAAAGTCAATTTCCTTCGCTCTTAATTTGTTCTTCAGTTCGCCCTTAATTTATGATTTTTGTGTTACAAATCAATCAATTTATAGAAGATAGGGTTTGCTTTTAAGTTTCTTCACAGAGGCATTAGGAATAAGAATCTTTCAGAATACACACCTAAACCTTAAACACGACATTAATTCAGTCAATAAATCACATCTCGCTTTTGTAATTAAGTTTCTGGCGAAAAAATTAGTTTTAATCTTGTTAAAATGCAGGAAGCAGTCAGCAGAATCTATCGGGTTATACGCCAAAAACCACGTAAATGTTTGCTAAAATACTTTCCTAAATTGAATACATTTTGGTTTCTCAATTTGAGTATGATAAGGTTGTTGACTGCGAACCTTGTTCTTTTATATTTTTACTGTTATCCTTTAAACGTTATCAAGAAAGCAATTGAAACAATTGAAAAACAAGCAACAGAAAATTATTGAAAATTTTGAAAAAGAAGCATCAAAATTTCCTTACAAAGTCAATAAAAACGGTGTTTTTTTTTTATTTAAACGATAACTTGTACATTGAAACAATTGAAAAACAAGCATCAGAAAAGGTATTCAAAGAAAAGTTCATATGGTTATCTAATTGATTTGATTATTCTTGATTTTACCAAGTATAGCTTGTATTAGCTGCAAAGGTGCCAAATTAAGAAAGAAGTGTATTGAAGCCATTGAAAAACAAACATGGAAAAATATTCAAGCAAAAGTAAAATAGAAAAATTCACGGTTAGCTCTTTGAATATTATTACTTTCAGATATTATAAGCCTGCCATGTACAACTACATTTATAAATTCATTTTAATTTTAGGCTACGACTTTGGTATTAAAATCTAAACGCTTCTAAAATCGCTCTAATGAAAAATGATTCATAACTTTTCTGTGCGCTACTTTTGAAAAACTTTAATTTGTTAAGAATTTAGTTGCAACTTTCTTAATAAGATTAATACATTTGGACCAATTCCAGTTTGAAGCATCAAGTCTGAAACAGAAGATAAATCTTAAGAATCGATTTTTTTGACTTTTCGTATTATGTGCTTTTTCCCTTTTTTTTTTTTTTGTGTTGATCATTGAAAAGCAAAAATGAAGATTGATTTTAGCATAATGTATACAAAATGTAGATCAATTTGTGAAATTTTGGTCTTTTAATCATAAGTTTGATCATTTGGCTAAAACAGTAAAATTCTTTCGGCCATTTTCGGCTTTTTACCTCAAACGGTACAAGGGAGGAAGAAGTTGTAGGTGGAAATTCTAATTTGAGTCATAATATGTACTTTCCTTCTCTTAATTTATTTGGGGAAAAAACTAAATTATATCATAAATTGAAGATAATTACTTTCTTTTAGATTGGAGAACGTGACAAAACATGTCGAAGTCAATTCATCTTATCGAGTGATACTTTTCTTGATTGATGTCATTACTTTATAGACCCGAACACTTGTTATCATTGTCTCAATACAATGACGTGTTTTGAACGAGTAGCGTACAAATTGTATTCTCTTTCCCACTCAATGCTTTCAATGTTAAGTATGAGAATGCCAATGAAATTTAACTTTATTTTTACGCCGTTACACATTTGCAAATGAGAACCTTATTAACGGTACTTCTAGGTTCCAGGACAACGAGGCATGCCAGGAGGCGGTGGAAGGATGCTTGTTTCAGCGGTGGTTCCATTCCTCACAATTAAAACAGTGTCCATACCCCAGCTACTATGCCTATCGAAATGACAGTGGATAAACCATACCCCTGAAAACATATACACCATGCATATTAACTTATAACTTACGTTACAAAAAGAGGGCCGAAGAGTTTTCTAATGTCCTAAAATTAAATGAAAACTTACCTGGATTAGATGCAAAAAATCTAAGGGCAACCCATCCTTCACCAACAACATGGACCGTGTTAATCAGTGGTGGATCAACCAGGTTGTAAGTGCTTGGGTCAGTCACATTGTTAAAATTTCCAAAACCAGTTCCGACCCAATAAAATCTAAAACCGTGCAAATGAATTGGATGGCTTCCACCAGCACCAAGATTAGTTGCTTGAAGCACAATCTCAACTGCTTCACCGTAATTCACCACAACAGCCCTTGTCCCCAGATTAGTTCTCGTATTCAAATCAGTCAAGTTTCCAGTGAAGTCATAGAACACAGGTGGATAAAGGGGAAAATCTTCGGTGAAAACACCATTGGTGCTACTGTCATAGGAAAAATTTATAGAATAATTAGCTTCAATAATTAAACTACTTCTCTAATGGTACCAAATTTGTTAGGTTGGGTCTGTCGAAAAGAGATTTGGTAAAAAGTAAAGGAGATAAAGTCCACAGTTCAAAATTACTAAAAGTTGAAAATATAAAATGGGTTAAATTTAATCGAAGAGGCTAGAACTATATATATATACCTGTTGTAGTATGCTTGGAGAATGTCAATACGTGGGAAAACAAAGCTGACATTGTTCAAACTTGCTACAAATCTATCAAGCACAAGGCATTCTGAGGTGTTGCAAGGCATGGTGTTTGTGGCGATTGCGATGTAGACTCGTCTATCAATATCTGTCGGCACATTTAATGGTGGATTTTGTGTGACGTTTGCGTTCCTGATTTGGCTGATAAAGTTATTTGTAGCATTTGTGTCGTTTCTTGCGGGCAGAGTTATAAAGGAAGCATTCAGTCCACCCTCACTGTTTGTATATTGAAAAACACCAGTAGTTATAAAGTCAACAGGCGGAGCGGAGGAGTCGGAGAAAGGCCTAGTAGCCATATAATATTGGCCAACATTTTGGTTCGCATAGACCAGAACATCCATGGTTTGTCCAGGGTTTATCAAAATATAGTCGCTTGCAAACCTTTGAACGTAGGAGGCATCTTGTGCGACGAGTATGAGGCTGTGGTTTGTGATGGTGAAGAATTTTGGTTCATTCATTGCAGCATTGATTATGCGGAAAAGATATGCCTTCTCATAATCAACTTGCATACGGAATATTGTATCTGCAATAGGTAAATTTACATTGAAAAATAATTACCAGAAACAATATTCAAAGGGATAACTTGATCCTTGTTTTAATGCCAGAACGCACCGTTGGGGCATCCATATGTGTCTCCTAAATGTCCATTGATAGCGTATGCATCTGGTTGGCGTGGAGCGAGACCGGTTGCAAGTGCTTGATCGATGATTTGCTTGTAGTCTTCGTTATACCATGATTCTGTCAATATACAATATAATAGAAAAAAGATTCAGTCAACTATTAAAAAGGAAAAATGAAGAGTAGAAGAGATATGCTACGAAGTATGATTGTTTGATCCGCATCAGGCGTGGGAAATGGATAAGTTTCGTTCTCAGCTGGTAAAATGACAAAGGCACCCTGGACGGAGCCACGAGTCCAATCACTGTGGGCATGCCACCACAGAGTTCCTATTTCGTCAGATAATATAACTTCATAAGTGAAGTTTGTTCCAGGTTCAATTGGACACTGCGTTACGTACTCAGGGCCATCGGACCATGGATTTCTAGGTTGTCTCACACCATGCCTGCAAAATTAATTTATTTAAAAGGCCTCTAGGTTTCAATTCTTTGGTGAAACAAATATTGAAGTCAGGATTCAAGATTTTTTTGGGGTGTCCACTTATAATTAATATATATATATATATATGTAAAATTGATGATGGATATATCAATTTTATTGACAAAAAAAATTCATAAAATATTTTTGACGAGCCCAAAAATATTTTTCTTCAAAAATTTTTTTTTTTCTAATTTGTGGGATATACCCTTTGCTACTGGATCTGCCTCTTATTGGAGTGAAAGCAAGAAAATTATTTACCAGTGAATGGTAAAGGCATAGTTTCCTTGATTGTGGACATTAACGTAGACAGTGTCACCTCTGCGAACCCGAATCTCAGGCCCAGGATAACTGTCATTTACGACCAGCAAAGTCGTTGTGTTGCAGAGCTTTGTGAAGTTTGATTCTCGCACCTACAAACCAAATGCAATCAACAACAACAATATTAAAAAATGATAATCATTTTGCTGTCTCAAAAAAGCAAGTATGGATGTTAGTTTTGTCTCTCTGGCGCTTTGCCATGGTTTTTGGAGTTACATGTACCACATTTTAATATTAGAGCTAATAGGTCCTATCACACCCGAATTTTTGGGCCTAAATGTGGGGAAGATAAAGTCATAAATCATATATGTCCTAATGATTTTGTGTCTGTTCGATACTAAAATACAAAATGGAGTTTACAATATACTTTCACCTGTTTTGTTTTGTTTAGTTTTATTAAATTTAAGAAAAAAAAACTCGGTTTAATGTCTTTTATATTAATATTTTGAATTCTTTTATAAAGTTTATGTTGCAATACTAATCATGAAAATGAATTTAGTAATAAAAAGTATGAGTATGGGGTTTTCAAAAAAGAAAAAACAAAGCATAATTTTAAAACCCATAAAAAAAAGAGAATATTTAATTTATTATTTTGTAATTAAATCAAGTATGTTTAATATCAGGTTTAAGATCACTTGTTTAAAATTTTAAAATAATTATATGAAAGATTATTACGGCTCTGTTTATTTTGCGAAAAATTAATTTTTGAAAAATAATTTACGTATTTTTAGGTATTTATTTAACAAAAAATTAATTAATTAACGAAAAATAATTTATTAATTAATAAAAAATAAGGTCATTTTCTAAAAATTATCTTTTAGATTTAAAAAGAAGTGACCTGTTCTGAAAAAAAGTTGTTTATGAATATAACTATTTATCAATAGTTTTTAATATAATTTTACTTATAAATATTATTATATTAACAAATAATATATTATTAATAAATAATATATCAATAAATAATATTATTAATAAATAATTTATAATATATTAATAAATAATATAAAGAATAATAAATAGTTTTATTTTAAGTATTTTTTATATTAATATAATATTTTAATATTAAATATTATTATTCAAATATAATTATTTTTTAATATTAATAATTTAATAATAAATAATTTCAATATATTTTAATAATAAATATTTTTTAATATTTTAATAGTTGTATTAATATTATTTGAAAAAAATAGATTTTTCATAAAACAACTAAATAATAAAAAATATTTTTAATTAACTTATCCAAATAATAAAAAATCTCTTTTAATTCAAAAAATATCAATGCCTTTCAAAAATTAATTTTTGAAAGACATTTTTCGTGAAACAAATGAAATCTACATAATAATCAATAATTGCATGAACTATTATTAGAATGTTTGAATTTTAATTTTAATAATCATGATTCAAACTTGAATAACTTCAAATAAAAAAAAACAAACAAATGACAAATATATATATATATATATATATTTATATATATAAAGAAAATGGCACTTACGAAGAACTCATAGTAGTGGATATCTGCCACGCAAAGGAGCAGGGTACATAGAAATAAAACCCCTACCAACCATGAGACAAAACCATGTTTCGGTAAACCCATTTCTTTCTAATTTTTTCAAACTCTTCTCTTAACAAAAGAAATCACTTCCCTCTCTCTCATGTGTTCCTCAGTTCACCCCTTAAATTTCTTCTGTGATATCTTTAGGGTCATAAAACTCAACAATTTATAGGAAGAAAGCTTGAGCTTCTTAATTAAGTTTCTTCTTAGATGCATTGGCCGGGGTAAAATAGAATGTTCCAAAATACATACCTAACATTAAAAAATTCCATTCAGTCAATAAATAATTTACTATTGAATGATCTCATGGTTTGAAATTTCAGGTAGCAGCACACAGAATATATTGGATTATACACCAGAGAAAAGACTTTAATAAAATTTTTTAAGTTCAAGTTTATAAAAATTTTTATTAAAAATAACTAAATTAAAATTAAAAATCCAAATTGATAAATTATTTTGACAGAGTTGCAAAAGTGTGTAGGAGAATTATTTCCCCGTTCCACCAACCTTAAAATCTATAAACTCAGTAAGAAATAGTGGATTGTGTACGGCGGCAAAGAGGGGTTTTCTCTGGCCCTTTACTGAATCAACTTTTAAACATCAATAAAAGTTTAGCTTTGCAGAAAAAAAGTAGGCAAAGTTTAAAAAATGTACCATGTAAAAAGACTATGTTAAAGTATTTTTCTAAAGCAATTTAATTAATTATGGTTGTGGAAAAATACTTGTTTCAAGGTTAATTAATTAAATAGATTTTGGTGTCCCAATTTGAGAATCAGGTTGTTAATTCATTGCTGTCCTCCGTTCAATAAGAATTTAAGTTACTAATTTTCTATACATTTTGTCAAATGTGATAGAGAAAGAGAGAGAGAGAAGATTGTGTTTAAGTCTTCTATATGCATGAACATTTATGCACAAAAAAATTAGATAAATTTTTTTATAATTTTGAATTTTTTTATAAAAATAAATTAAAATATTTAAAATTGTTAACTCAAAATAAAGTTGTGCATAGTTCATCCTAAGATAATAATTTCAGTTCGTAATTTTTATATATTTAATGAAAAAATCTTTAAAATTTTGAAAAAATTAAAATTAATGTCTTCTATTAATAATAAAAACCATTAAACTAAGTTTGAATGGATTGTGTTATTATATTTTATTTAATTTTTTTTATAAAAGAGGTCATAGTCTAAATGATAATTGGGAAAAAGAAATTTGCAAGTCCAGAAAATCAAAATTTGAGAAAATCCACACTCTAAACCTCCCTTTGTTTAACCGACTCTAAAAAAATAATTTTTACATTTTCAAATGTTTGTTTGACAAAAAACTGACGATCAATAAAAAATGAGATAATTTTTCTAAAATTGTCTTTCTTTTTTTCAAAAGGGAAAGATAATTTTTGAAAAATAGTTGTTTACAAGTTGAATAACTAATTAATATATTTAAGTATAATTTTATTCAAGTTAGATATTGTATATGATTTTTTAAGCTCAAATTTAATTCAATTCGACCTAAAATATTATTATATTAATAAATAATATTTTATTTAACGTTAAAAAGTAAAATATTAACATTAAAAGTCTTTTAGTATTTTAATTTTAAATATTTTTATAATTCTACTCAAGTAAGATTTTCAAAATAATATTTTAAATTTGAACTTGATTTGATTTGAATTGAAATATGATTATATGAATAAAAATATTTTATTTAATTTTAATTAAAAAAATTAAAATATTTGAATATAAAGTCTTTTGATATTTCAATTTTAAATATTTTTATCTCGTATATTATCAAACATAAATATTTTTAATATTTTGATAATAAATAGTATTATATTATTATTTTAATAATAAATAAAAACATATATAATAATATTTTTATTATTTTAATAATTATTGTTAAATAATATAACAATATTATTTTTTAATATGAATATTTTAATAATTTCTTACTTGTTTAAGTTTAAAATATATAATTTTATATTTTACTTATTATGGTATGTATATTACTATTTTAATAATAAATATAAATAAAAATATTTTTTATATGATTTAATAATAGATATTTTCAATATAAAATATAAATATTTTAATAGAATAAATATTTTAATAATAAATATTACTATTTTGATATTAATAAAAATAATATTTAAAGAATCGTAAAACTATTTTAAATATTTTGAATATTAATATGAAGAAAAATAAATAGTTATATTTTAAGTTTTTTATATTAATATAGTATTTAACTATTAAATATTATTATTAAATATAATTATTCTTGAATATTAATAATTTTAATAATAATTAATTTCAATATACTTTAATAATAAATAAATTTTAATATTTTAATAGTTATATTAATATTATCTAAAAAAAACATATTTTTCAAAAAACAATCAAACTGCATAAAACATTTTTTATTAACTTATCTAAATAACAAAAAAATTTTATTTTTTAAAAAAAATATAAATATTTTTTAAAATATTTTCTGAAAATTAATTTCTGCGAAACAGAATATAAGTAGATGAACCATTTGAATTAAACTTTAACTTTTTTTCCCCACAAGCTTCAGGTTCATTATTCTTTATTTTACCTAATAAAGCCCTGTATAATTGGCTGCAAGGAAACCAAATTACGTAGGTTTTTTTTTTTTTAAATTACCAAATTAGGTAGATTTAATTTGTAAAGAAAGAAGTCTACTGAAGCAAGCTCAAAATCAAAGAATTGAAGCAAAAGTAGAAAATAAAATTTCATGATTATCCCTTTGAATTTTAATATTACTTTGATTCGACTTTCCTTTGCATTTTATTTTCAACATTCTTATTCGTTACCCTACCAAACATTTGAAATCATCCAAGTTTCAAATATTAGTTACCCATCATTTTCACTTTCATGATATGAGAATTTTCTCCCCTTCTCTCTTATGCTGCTGTTGAAAAAAAAATGAAGATTGGTTTTAACATAGTGTATTCAAATTAAGATATAGACCAATTTTGTTTCGAGGAATTTTATTTTTAACAATTATTTTTTCAAACTTTAATAGTATTGCAAAAGAAGTCTTTCTACAACATAAAAGTATTATGTTGTTATAGGATATTATAAACTATATGTTGCAATAAGAACATACTCAACAATTATTGTAAATGCTTTTCCGACATTATCATTTGTTACATATTTGCAAAAAAATTTAAGTTTTGTTTTAAAAATACCTTTTTACAACATAAGAAGTCTTATAATGCAATAAATGTACATATTACTTTTCATAGTAAAAGTATACACTTAAATTATTGTAAATTTTTTGTAATTACATAATACAATTTGCAAGACATTGCAGAATTACATAAAATTTTTGCTGCTAATTGTCAAATTATTTGTACTCTTTGCTTCGTTTTGGTCTTAATTTCCATCTAAGTTGATCACATGGCTAAACTAGTAAAATTCTTCTATACATGCCATTTAGGCTTTACCTCAAATGATACAAGGTAGAAAGAGTTCATGAAAATTTAAATTTGAGTCATAATATATATTATATTTTTCTTAATTTCTTGGGAAAAAATCTAAATTATGTCATAAATTTGAAGATTGAGTGATATCTAGATTGGACACCATGTCAAAGGAAGGACTAGAAGATTATGACCAAATTTAACTAGTTAACTAAAGTAAGTAATGTAAAATAATTCTAGACACCATGTCAAAGGAAGGACTAGAAGATTATGACCAAATTTAACTAGTTAACTAAAGTAAGTAATGTAAAACAATTCTAGACACCAAGTCAAAGGAAGGACTAGAAGATTATGACCAAATTTAATCATACTTTCTAAATTGCGCCGTGACAATCTCGGCAGTTGTAGCTTGATTAACTTCCTAATTTATTGCCTTGATTTGAGAAAAAAAATAATAACCCACTCTTAAATTTTTTTAAAAAAATTTCTCTGTAATTAATTATTATTACTTGAATAATATATATTTATGTATATGTAAGGGCTTAAAACCCTAACAATTGAAGTAGGATCGTATAAAGAAGTTTTCATGACCGATACTATTCTCGATTATGATATTGTTTATATATATATATATATATGTACCTTTTTTCCTGGTTGTTGCTTGTATTATAAGATAATTGTGATATACGAAATTTACATATAGCCATTGACCTTTTTTTTGTTTTGATCCATTTGGAAAAAGGATTAAATTTGTCACTGTACTATATTAGAGATTTTATATTTACCGTTCTACATCTTTTAAATACATATTTACCATTTAACTATTTTTTTATGTAATTTTAGTTACTTATATATATGAAAATAGAATATTCTATCTAAATTAAAGACTATTTTATTAAAAATTTCAATTATATTTTAATTTTTATTATATAAAAAGTAAAATATACTTTATTTTAAATTCTAAACAAAGATAGGAATTTAATTATTGCTGTTTTTAGATAAGAATTTAATATTTTTATTTTTTTATTTAATTACTGATATTATCCTTATTTAAAATTTAAAATAAATAAAGATGTTAGGTTAGCTTTTCAAAAAAGTCTTTTGTTGTCATACTTATCCGAAAGTTGTTCATTTTCTTCCAATCATCAAAACTTCTCCCTCGAATTATTTTAGGATTTGAAGCGGCACTGGGAAGCATAATAGTCACGGTTTTTGTAAACAACATTCCTGCTAGCGTACATTGGAGGTAGTTATGAAGAGTGTTTCAGAACTACGTTGAAGTTGTTGACGTGTTTCTGCCTATGAAGAAAAATTGAAGAGGAACTAGGTTTGGTTTTGTACGTTTTGAAAATATGGATAGGTCTAGAAGAGCTATAAACCAGTTCAATGGTGCATGGTTTTTGGACAGCCAAATTAGGGTGAATTTGGCAAAGAATAATGAGAGAGTAGAATATTATAGGAAAGCAAAAACACAAGGAACACAGGCCTCTAGGAGAACAGGAAGGATAGGTTTTGAAAGCAGAAACAAAAGGCAGATTGTTAGGGAAGGAAAAGGAATAGAAGTTGAACATATATTCACTACAAGAAATTTTTCATACACTGA